GTTAGCTACACCCCATGCTACTTGTAAAAACTGTAGATAAATATTTTTAATTAGTGGCTTGTGATACTGTTAATTAATGTCTAGTAAAATAGTAATTAGCTCCACTTCAATCTACCAACATTAAGTAGCTAACTACATTAAGAACTAACTACCAACACCTTTATTTCATTATTTCAGTCAAAACATTATTATAAACATTATCATTAACAGCAGTATTTAACAAAAAAAAAATAATAATAAAAAACATTTGGGCGGCATTATGCTAATATTTCCACATAGTGAGGTAGATATGTGGAGGCGTGTTAGAACGAGCCGATTTAGGTAGGCGTGGCTGACTCTTAACTTTTATAAAGAATATCTCTTTGGATTTGAGACTTTAGTCTTTGCAACTTTACAAATCTTCTTTATGCACCAAGAGCTTGTAACACTCCAAAGAGAAAGAAAAACTTGAAATCGCATCATATGACCCCTTTAAACATTTAACCTAGATAAATAAGCGCTGTTAGGCGCATATCCAATCGTTTGTGTGGAGAGTGGAAGCTAAAGCGTGCTTTGCAGGACATGGAGGCGCCAGCGCGATCACTTGCATTTTTTTTTTATAACAGTGGAAACTTAAAAATACGCCATCATTTTTGCTCATAAAGGTAAGAGTATACATCATTCGGAAATGCAAAGGGTCTACTTGTATTTGTGTGCACTCACAATATCAAGAAAATCTTGTGCTTTTGTAAAATAAGGAAAACAAACAGGATGCGCTTTCTGTCATCTTGGTCTTGAGCAGGAGCGCTTCACCGACATGATAAATATATCTATAGAATGCTTTAAATTACTATTTTGAAAAGAACTAATTCAAATCGAAAACAAAAACTCTTTCATTATGTAATCCGTAAAGATGCATTTCTCTCTAAAGGCACATCCAATGAGGAGATGGCGAGTCAGGTTCGTCAAATTCATTTTTGCAACATTGACTCAGAAAAAAAAGTTTATTAACAAATAATTCAAATATCCCCTCACTATTTTTTACTTTTTTTGTTTGTTTTTATTTATCTTTTGGGCCGCTGTGCCAAACTTTGCATTCAGTAGCCTATACAGCAGCATTTAATATTAACGTCATAATATTTTAAGAATAAAGTCAAAATTACGATAATAAAATCATGTTATATTGCGTGAAGTTAATGTGAAAATTTCACCTATAGGCATACTCCTCCAAAAAAAAAAAAGACGGTGGCATCCATCATTCTTTTGACTTTTTTAAACTCTGATTGATTCATGAGACATTCGTTTGTATTAAATTGTTCTGATTTTTTTCAACATGCATTCAAATATTCATGTTTATTTTGTGCTGCAAATATTAAAGAGGAAAATATCATTGATTCATATGCAGCTTAAACTGAGGCGAATTATCTTACTACAAATGAAAGAGCGTAAAAAGACCTTTATTGTTTGTATTTTATCATAAAATTGACAGAAGGTTGAGACTTTGTATTAACAAAGCACAAAGCTGCGATTATTGAGTGGCTTGCGTGCTACAAATAACGAATGGACTTGAAAACTTTAAACATAATTTCCAAGCATTAGCCTATAGCCTACCCTAAATAAAACAGCTTGTGAATAGTCATGATTCACATAACGTTGTTTACTTCAGAAAAATCAACAATAGGGCCTAAGTTAAGTTAACCGAGTTGGAGCCAATAACGTTTGGGGGGACCCGTCCAAATTTTTTGCATATGGGCCCTACGCCACTGGTGTGATAGGAAAGTTATTTTGTGAATATGTGTGATAGGAAGGCTCTAATGATTTTTTTATTTTTTTGGGTGAACTGTTCCTTTAAGTCTACATCACCAACAATCCTTTTATGACTAGCATTTTGTAAATTTGCCAATTATTATTAAATCAATGACTAAGATTAAGATCACTCTGATGTATAAAGAAAACAAAAGGTGTCTTGATGGCATTCAGCTCTGCTTCACATGTGACCTCCTGCACCTCATGCCATCCTCGTCAAACCTGTTTTCATGTAATCAGTTCTGACAGAAGATTGGCAAACAAGTACATGAACCCTGAAACAAATAAAGAAAGAGTGAGAGAGAGAAATGTCAAACCCTTAGGAGGCCCCATGTCTTCCTGTGATGAAGATGGATTTTTTAGGGTTATTGCAAAATTCCTGCTGTGCCGGTGGGATTGTGCATATGCCGGAGAAAAAAAGGGAGAATGGTAGGAGGGCGAAAGAAGACAGAAGAGAAAAGAAGGGAAGGTAGCAACCCACTTTAATGAAATCACTTTAGTTTCTCTTCAAAATTCAAGCAACCTGCAGAGAATCCAAACACTGTGTATAGCAAGAAGGAAGATGGAATGCAGAGCCAAAAAATAGTGAAGAAGCAAAGCTGATATGTGTAAAACCGCAGCTAAAACAGTCACTAAAATATCAAAACTAAATATCTACCTAATAAGCTGGACAAGGAAACCAAAAGATGGATTATATGACTAAGATGAAACAGTTGAATAATTATAATTTAACTAATTAGACCAAATTGAATGTCACATCAGCTAATCACAAGGCAAACCCATACATTCCCACCCCTGCAGGAAAGTCAGGCTTAAGCTGTTCACCTTTATAACATGGTAGCTGATTTCTAGCTGATTCCAGCTGGCAATTAACTGGTAGACCAACTCGTACCAGCAACAACCTAGCAGGTCAAGCTGCTTTTTGGAAAGTGATGTAACACAATGGCGCCGACGCTGATGGCTGCCTCCGTGGCGTGCTCTGCAGTGGTCGACCAGCCAATGACTAGCTTGGACCAGCTAATAAGTAGAAATCATGTTCCAAAACACATGCTTCTTCTACAGAAACATTATTAGATCAGATTAAAACAAAACAGAGTGAGCAAATATAACCACAAGATTATGAGCAAATATAATAATCACAAGCTTTCCTAATAACTAGCCATAGCCCTTCTAGGGGAGGAGGAAACAACTGGGCAGAGAAAAATATAGATGGTTGATGTGAGAAAATGGGGCTCACAAAAGGATGAAAAGAGTAGTGTACCTGCCAATCGAATGCTTGTTCGTCTCCCTCAATAGACTGGCCCTTTAGCAGCCAGGACGCTTGTTGGAACAGTAAACTATTCTTTGTACTCACAAACATACACATTGTTACCTCAGCGGTGGAGAAGATGGCAGAGGCTTGGCCCTTTGTTCACCGGGAAATCAAAGAGATTTTTGAACAATCAGCAAAAAGGGACACACAATATGACACAAGGACTTTCATTGAAAATTAAGGGGCACCACTTAAGCTAGTAATTTTTTTTTTCACTTTTAGAAAGCTTTTTATGTTCAGACAATCTTAAGTTGTGTCAATGATGAATCACACAGGCTTGTGTGTGTGGACACATTCTGGGATGAGGTCTAAACTCAATGAGATGAACTCATTAAGCAAACAGTGGAAAGAGTAAAACTGAGTGCAAGGCAGGTCAACAGACATTCGGTCAGCTGGGCCATACACCACATCCATTGTTGGATGATTTCAGAAAATGCTGAAGTAAAATAAAGACAAAAGTTATTTGGCTACAACATGATACAAGCTTCAATTATAGTGCAGAGACTCATGCACCTATTTATTCATTTTTACTAAGGAGATGCCAGTGACTAATTAAGAACTGACTCAAAAACACTTTTACAAAAAAACACTTGTTTGCCACAGCATTTCAAACCAAGCTTGTTTTTTTTACCCGCAGTACTTGTGCAATATACTGTAAATATCAAAGTTACATTGGGCATGACAATTCTGGTCATCACAACTAGAGGATTGCCCTGCAGGACGGTTGCTGTTTTCTCTGTGTAAGGATGGGGTTTCAAAGCCTTTACAAAAGCATCAAGTGTGCCTTTTTCTGTTTATATAAATGAGCCATGTAAAGGAATTGTTAAAAACTGGTTTTGCTACAGGACCCAAATTTTACATTTTACATGGTCCTGAAAGAGTACCAAAATGGTTTAGCATGGATAAGCATCTTAACATCAAACACTGAAATGTTTATCATTAATATTACCATGATCTGTATAGGCCAGGGGTGCCCAACCATGCTCATGGAGGGCCAGAGTCCTGCAGAGTTTAGGCCCAATATGCTCCAGCACTGAAAGAGTATAGTAGAGGTCCTGAAAACCTTGATTTGCTGTTTCAAGTGTGTTTAATTAGGGCTGGAGTTAAACTCTGCAGGACTGGACAGGACAGTAGCCCTCCAGGAGCAGGACTGGACACCCATGTTAAAGGCTAAATAATGTGCCAACTCATATATAATAATAATAATTGCTGTTAATAGTGTTCATCGTCTGTTTGATTACGTCTTTAATCGATTTTTCCGTACATTTCTTCCATATGTACATTAACTGATAGTCACCACTGATAAGCTACCACTAAATATTGTAGAAACTTAATTTGCTGTAAAGTTGCTTTGCAACGATTTGTATCGTGAAAAACACAATACAAATAAACTTGAATTGAACTGAATTGAATATACATAACAAGATCATTGTTGTAGTTTTGACATTGAGTTTCTATCTTTTTCTATTGCAGGATTCAATCATTAAGGCCAGAGAGTAATCGACGATGCGTCCATTATCTCCCCTGTCTCATCTCATTTTGTTTCACTTACTGTGTGGATCTCTGAGCAGCAGATGTCCTCAAGAGTGCTCATGCAGCACCAGTGGTTCTATCTTCTGCGTCCAGCAGAACTTGAGCTACATGCCTCATGACCTCCCCTCCTCCACAAAGTACCTCTACGTGTTTCAGAACAACATCAACACCTTGCAACAGCAGGGCTTTGTAGAGCTTGGCGAGCTTGGAATGCTGGATTTGAGTCAGAATGCCCTCACTGAAATCCCTGATGGGGTGTTCAGCCCACTCTCCTACAATACAAATAAACTTGAATTGAACTGAATTGAATATACATAACAAGATCATTGTTGTAGTTTTGACATTGAGTTTCTATCTTTTTCTATTGCAGGATTCAATCATTAAGGCCAGAGGGTAATCGACGATGCGTCCATTATCTCCCCTGTCTCATCTCATTTTGTTTCACTTACTGTGTGGATCTCTGAGCAGCAGATGTCCTCAAGAGTGCTCATGCAGCACCAGTGGTTCTATCTTCTGCGTCCAGCAGAACTTGAGCTACATGCCTCATGACCTCCCCTCCTCCACAAAGTACCTCTACGTGTTTCAGAACAACATCAACACCTTGCAACAGCAGGGCTTTGTAGAGCTTGGCGAGCTTGGAATGCTGGATTTGAGTCAGAATGCCCTCACTGAAATCCCTGATGGGGTGTTCAGCCCACTCTCCTCTCTACACAACCTGGATCTCTCCTCAAACCACATTACCCACATTTCCAAAGACAGCTTTGCTGGACTGGTCAACCTGGAAAGGCTGTATCTCTACAGCAACCACATTCAGAGCATTCACCCAGCTGCCTTTGAGGGACTAGAGAACCTACTGGAGCTGAAGCTACAGGGGAATCAGATTAGTGTTTTGCCAGGTCTGCAACTGCCCAGACTGCTCCACTTGGACCTAAGTTATAATAGTATCCCACCTATTGGACCTGAAGATTTACAGACACCACACCTTGAGTCTCTTAAAATAGCTGGACTGCGGCTAACCAGTCTGGATGGGGAGCTGCTAAGCAGCCTAGTGAACCTACATGTTCTGGATGTTTCCCAGAACCTGCTCGTAGAGATACAACCTACGCTTAAGGCAATGGGGGGGCTACGAAACCTCAATTTAACTGGGAATCCCTTGGGATCCCTAAAACAAGAAGACTTCCAAAATCTGGTTAATTTGCTAGAGCTTGACTTGAGCAACCTTAATTTACAAGGCTTCCCCGAGGGCTTCTTCAACCTTTTCCCCAAACTTGAGAAGCTCACTGCAGCTGAAAACCCCTTTAACTGCCTCTGCCCACTGGCCTGGTTTCCAGTATGGCTAAAGGATGCACATGTAGAACTGTTGAGAATGGAGGAGACTCGTTGCCACTTTCCACCAATAAACTCAGGAGAGGTTTTGGCAAAATTGGAGCATAAAGATTTTGGCTGTCCCACAACAACCATTGAGTTAACAAGAGCAGGGACAAGTAGTACTACAAGCAAGCCCACAAACTCCACCACACCATCAAGCACAATGCACGCCATTCCCCCGGCGCCACCAAGTGAGATGCCCTCAGCAGACACAGACAGCTTCCCTCTTTCCCAGACCACTGCCTTCCCCAGAGAAATCATAGAAGATTCTGAAGAAGAGGACATCATGTGCCCCTCCAATATCTGTCTAAATGGGGGAACATGCATATTTGACTCAAATGGGGTGGTTGTTTGCCTGTGTCTGCCTTCAATGTCAGGACTTTACTGTGAGACACAAAATCCAGGCTTCCTTTCTCCGCCTTCACCTAGAGTTTCTGTCGAGACCATTGCTACAGTCCAGCCCAACACAATCAGCTCCCTTCACATAACCAGCACTTCCATTTCATTAGACCTTCACCGTTACATCCACACAAGAACGCACATCCGTGGAATCCGTCTGACTTACCGAAACTTGTCAGGCCCCGACCAGCGGCCAATACACCTGAATGTGCCTCCAACTTACCCCGAATACACGCTTAGAGGGCTACAGCCGAATAGCACCTATTCTGTATGTGCCAGCCCTCTGGGAGAGCCTGTCCATGTCTCGGTTAGTGCCTGCATGGAGGCTCGCACAGCAGGAATCCCACCCTCTTCCCAAGAGCCAAGTGTTGACAGGACCGAACCCTCTTCCTCTCTCATACCCATCATGACAGCTGTGGCAGTGGTGATGGTTGTGGCCATCATAGCTACTGTGGTAGTCATCCGCCGCAGGAGGAGATCCAAGGCTCCAGTAGATATGGACTTACATGAGACATCTCCTCTGGAGTTAGAGGGAATGAAAACCAGTCCAGAGAATGGTCTGACACATACAAAACAACCGGACATCACCCCTTGCCCATCTTTAGTGCAAAACAGCTTGGAATACGAGGCACCTTTAATACAAGGACAGTGTCCAGCCAACAATAATGTAGCTTGTGTGAAACCTTTGTATGTGTAAAAGCCATATTGCGCTATTCATACCTCCAGCCCACAGAAGGCAATGGGCTCCATGACTCGTGCAGGCGGGTGCGATGCAGACACTAGATAGACTCTGGTGGGTTGGTGAACATTTTAATGCATTTAAACACTTAAACTGACTGCCAGTATTTAAACCAGGTGCATTTGCCATCAAATTTTTTTTACAAATGCCTTTACAAGTGCCTTTTATAACCATAAATATCAGACTTTATCAAGAATTTCTCTCTAAGAAGAGGCCAGACATTACTGAACACAGTGTTGATTGGCTGAAAACAGGTTGTTTTAGAGGTAGCTCATTAATTGTGTTATACAGGAGTCAAAAGGTCATGCCAGGACGTCTGGACTTTTTTTTGTCCAGAAACAAATTGCACTGATAAGAGACACTGGGACCGTGCCTAAGAGTTGCCTATAGAAGCTGAAAGTGATCAGCCTCTTAAAAGATGCTTCAAACAGGTTTTATACAGCATCCCTCTGTCCCTCTGCCCCATCTGTCCTGCACAGGAGATTATTTGCTGTGAAAAAACATAATGAAGAGACATTTTCTTACTTTGTCTAGTTTACGCTGTTATGTTAAAGCTGTGTTATTATGTTTTTGTATTTTTAAAGAAACAGTTCACCAAAAAAAGTAATTATGTTATTTACTCACCCTCATGTCGTTCCAAACCCCTTTGATTTTCTTCACACGAGTTTGGAATGAGATTAGAGTGTGTAAATGAAAACAGAATTTTCATTTTGTGTGAACTTCTCCTTTAAGTGCCATTTCTGTGTCCCTTTTTGTGTTTAGTTGTTGTGTTTGTTTTGACTTGTAAACATGAGACTGTAGCAAACATTCTTTCTCCTCTCACTTGAGTGCAACAAGTTAAAATGCTTTTACTTCTGAATGAAAACAAACTCACTTTCCATGAGTGAAGTCTTCATCCTGCGTCTGACAAAGAAACACTTTGCAAGACTATAAACACCCTCAGCCATTTTTGACCTCAAACAAATTCCACACATTAACAAACACACTAGTACTATATAAGGATATGGATAACAAATGCTTTTAACAAAGCTGTTTTTTTGTTTTTGTTTTGTTTTTACGTGCCAGCTTTCTAAAAATGTCCTGTACTCATGATTCAGACTGGGCCCCAAACATAGACAAACTAGGAGAAGCTGAATGCAGATGGCTGAATGCAGATGGCTTTGCTCATTTGTTTCAACCAGACTATGAAAACTCAAAAGTGTACTATGGTACAGTGTTGTACTTTGGTATCAAAAGCGTACTATGGTACAGTGATGGTATCAGGTGGTAATACCATGGTACTTTGATATATATACCAGGGTACTGAATGATTAAAAAATATTATGCCAAAAATTAAGCAAAATGAATCACCTCAGCTTCCACATGAATCTTCAGTAAGCTTTTACTTCAGAAAAGAATATAACAAGACCCATGTAAAACAAGACGGATAGTTTTTCACCGTAAAAGTGCAAATGTGTCGAAGCCAAAAGTGTCATTGTGGAATTGCATGTTTATGAGCATTATCAGCACAGTAAAGTTGTGTTAAGAGAAATGGAGCCAGTAATCTAATCCAAAGTGAGGAAAGGTCAATTGTCAAATTCTCCCCACTCTCAGCAGCCCCTTTTTTTAGCCCTGCTCCACATATTTGTGACCGTATGCAGTATGTGCGCTGAAGATGTCAGCGTTTAGCACATCTAAATGTTTGAACTGGAAAGAGGAACAGCTTTACACAGCATGAGGGGCTTCAAATATTTGAAAATTTTTCAAAACCGCTTTTAAGTCCCATGCTTACTTTGGGATGCTTGTTGTTTCTCTCTTTTGTTGTGCACAAAGCCAAGTCTTCTCTTTTTTGGATGTAAAAATGTGTAATCTTTGGAAGAAAAATGAGACATCTGTTGAGAAAATTAAATTGAAAAAACACTCTTCTGTGACTGCCGAAATGTTATTCTTGTACTCTGTAACTCAAACACCATGACCACAAAGACCTTTTCTGAACTGTTCTTGATTTTAAAATTTAATCCTGAATTTTGAGAAATTTTCATGAATTATCTAAAAATTTAGTGAAATTAAGCTACAAAATGAGCAAAAACAAGCTACAACATTCTTTATGTACTAATATAGTGTATTATGACTAATTAGCATATGTTTAGTTTAGTATATGTTTCTTTGTGAAATGCCACTTTAAAATACATGATTTAGATGATTAATTTCTTAATTCTGTAGTCAAATATTTTTGTATAATAACATTAAATTGTATAATTAACTTGCAACACTTTACAATAATATTCCATAACATTTGTTAATTAGCATCAAGTATCGGGCAACAATTAACAATATTTTACAGCATTTAGGTCAATGTTAATTTCTACACACATATATATATATATATATATATATATATATATATATATTATATTTT